GAGCTGGCTCAGAGCAGTGGCCTTTCAGAAGCAGCAAGCTATTACACCAGTTAAATCTGTCTTGTCTGACTGCATCCTGCATCACACCAAGCACCACATGGTAAAACACTCTTCTATACTGTGAAAAAGCTAAGCTAAACCTTCTCTATTTCTTTACCTCCACCCATCTTTGCTTCTGTGATGCTGGCAAAGAGCTCTGTATGATGTGACTGAGCCTCTGACTTTCTTTTCACAGTCCACTTGTGATGCTGCAGAGCAAGAAGTACCTCTGGCAATGCTTACAATATGGATTGGTTATTCTGATGCTTTTAGCTTTTTATTCTTGTTATATTTGGGCCAAAATTTTAAAATGCAGCATAAATTTTGGGGTCTTAAGTTGACATAAGTCTGGCACTCAAAAATCAAGAGTGCTTTTTTTTTTTAAAGTATTAATAGAAACATAGATCTTCTGTACCTGCACTGGGGTGGGGGGGAAGAAGATAAAAAAAATAATAATGAGGGTGAAGGAAGGATGGCTGCATTTCATTTGTATGCAGGTGAGCTTGAAGTCACAGAAACTGGCAGAAGACCACCATTGCTGAAAATTTGATCTTGGGCTTATCAAAGTAGTTTACCAAAAACAGGATCACAGAAAGCACTTTCATAAACTATTTTCATGCTCAATGAAATCTACATCAGAAAATTAACTGTTGCAAGAAATGTGTGAAAAAAAAATGGGACATATTGTGCTTGGAAAGAGGGAATTGCTTCAACTCACTCTCAGAAGAGATAGTAGACATGGAAACGATTTCTCAAAGTGTATCAGAAAGGGTCACAAAGACTAGGGATGCATTTGAATCTGACAAGTTAATTTACAGTCTGGAAACTGTACCAAACACAAATTAGAAACAGTGATTACTGCTATGAAACTAGCTTGCAGGCTGCCAAAGTTGCTGACTGTTAATGGCCGGGTCTAATCTGATGGACATATTTACTCAGAAGAATATTACTGAGATTTACCAGTTTGAGTACTGTGTCAACTCAGAAAAACTCTCACAGAGCTGTGAGATGGCCAAAAAAGCAATTCAGAGAATGAAAAATATGCTAAATGAACAGTCATGGTCAATACACAATATTGTGACAGTGTAGAAATGCATAATTATATGGATAGGCTTTCCCAGAATAGATGATTTATTTTTGCAAGTAAATTTGAGAATGGAATGGATGTTTTACCTTATTGAGAAGAGTAACAGAACACTTAGAGCTGGTATTTCAATAGTTACTACTAAAAAGAAGGCTTCTACATCTGAAAGAAGATGATAGCTGGCTTGAGTGTCAGAGCTGCGTTGGATACAGGCAACTTGACATGCTGTTCTTTTCCTGTTTCCATGCCATCCATGAGGTAGTGCTAAACAAGGATTTGAAAAGTAAATAGTGGAATTGCATTTTCAAAGTATGCAATTTACAGAATTTACAAAAGGTAATCAAAATATTTTGCTTAGAAAATTTTCTTTAAAAGTGAAAAACAGTAGAGTTGATAATGGTCTACTGAGAATTCTGAAAAATCAAAAATTAGAAGTTTTGCTTTCCCTGTTTTTTTTTTTCACAAAAAAGTTTAATGAAGACCTAGCAAATATAATTGCAATGTCATAAAGTGTGCAACACTAACAAATGTTACAAAGTATGCAACCAGCCACTTCAAAGGTCAAGGTTATAGGAAGCACATCAAACTGATCACACCCTTAGAACTATTCTGAATTGTGCAAGTGTCTTTATATCATTTTTGGAAAGTCAAGTCATTTTAAACTTAGAGAGTATGAAAGATGCTGAGTTCACAACTTTTATTTTATAGTTATGTTTAAAAATTTAAGCCTAAAATGTCCTTCTCTCATGCAAATAACATGAGATCTTACTCTGGTGATGGGGTCTTACCCTCAACACTCTTCCCAGTTTCTTACATCTGAGGGAGATATCCAACGCAGTATATATCTACATCTATGGAACAATAATGGTATTAATGTAGTCCTCAGTTATAACCAAAAGTATAAACATTCCAAAATAACTCTAAGAAGATTAAAATTAGGGTTATTTATCATAGTTGTTTTCACACTGGTCATGGACTACATTTGCTGTTTTAAACCAGCATGAGTGCAGAGTGAGGAGGATTTCTACCCGAGAGGCCCTTGGATAAGGTTGGGAACAGAGAGGTGCTACAGCTCATGGTACATCTGCTTACCAACCAGCTCAGCTCAGACCTTCCCGTGTCTTCAGGGGCTTCCATTCATTTGAGAGATATACTTTTCCTGCTTTTTCACTTATTTGAAACTTCCTCGAAATTTGGAAGTGTTTGAAACTTCCCCAGCTTTGGGGCTCAGAGACCCACCAGCAGCCCTGCCACATTTTTATATTCCTAGCTGAAGTGCCTAAATTCCTAGACTCTCTGCACCTCTCCTGTTTGCTTACTCACTTTCCAGCAAGTAGCCTGAAAGGAGAAATATCTAGAGGTCTAAAATAGGTCAGATGAACCTCTCCTTAGCATATGCATATATTTTACCTTTTCCCCCATTTTCTTTATTCATCTTGGAGTGACTCACTCCAACATCTGACTTGTGGGTATGTAAAAATAAGAGAGAAATCTCATCCCTTCTTTAGAAATGATTCTTGGATCACAGGTGACTTCAGTACAAAATAATGACAGAAAACCAGTGGAGTGGTTCATGTGGTATGGTTTGATTCAGGACAAGCTAACATCTGACACCACACAGTGCAAGTGTTCTTTTATTATTACCTTTGCCATTTTTCAGTGGCAATTTTCATTTTTTAAAAGGGAATAATAGAATATCTATAACTACTAAATTTCACTTAGACCTTCAAATTAAATTCATTAGATTATTAAAAAAAAAAAATCAGTGCAACATTTTGTATTTAAAAAATAGCGATGATAAAAATCTCAGCTTTAGCAAAAAATTGATTCCTAAAAATACGTGCAATCCTTCTTAGCCTAACACAGTTTGGATACAGACATTGAAGGTATCTCTTCTTTCAGACATTTTTTGCAACATTTACATTTTATACATCTTAAACACATGATGTTATACAGTCAAAATAATTAAAAGTCTCTGGATGACTATAAAATAAATTATTACACTTGCAAAGTCTGAGTAAGTGATGGATCATATAGGACACCTGTGGTGCAACCACTTAAAATGATGTCAGCATGGAAAAAATTTGTTAGGAATATGCTTTCCTGGTATAAGGAAAAAAATATTCTTTTCCTAGGAAGACAAAGCATTATCAGTCTTTGAAATCAAATAACTGCCAGATCAGCACATGTGAAAAGATGAATTAGAATCAAAGAAATTCTATGAATTTAGAATTCATGATCTAAAAAAACCTGTGCCTTGATTTAAAGTTGTGAATGGATTCTCCTTTCCTTCTTCAGTGTGTTTTGACAGGTATTTTGTCCTCTCGTCTTTGCCAACTGATTTTTAAAAATATATATTTCAAAGTTTTTTGTATTCCTTCACTCTTCTCTGCTCTATTAAGAGCATATATTTGATATTTTCAGCATGCAGTTGTTTGGAAACTGGAGTTAATGACAAAATTTTCTGCAATTTCAACAAGACCTATGTACACATGACATTGTATAAATTTGAAACCTAATATTTCTATTATTTATAAAATTGATATATCTGCTTCTTCAGTAATTTATAAAAAAGGATCTCGAAAGATATTTTTAGGACCAGAGTTTGTAAACATTTACACATTGCATTATTTTTTTTTCATTTTCTATATATAATAAAGGAGTTGAAACTTCTATAAGAAACAAACAGGAGACCAGTCTTGAACCAGCTTATGGAAACCAGTGTTCTCAGGCCTAAAAATAATCTTTTATATAAAGTCTTCAGCAGCCACTTTTGATGCTGAATGCATGTGCAGCAATCGACACCTGCTCCTGCATCACTTCTAAGAGGCTGTATTTATCTCTGTTTCCAAAACAGTTACTCTTTTTCTCTATTTTCCTTCTTCACATGTGAAATGCACGGAAAACAGCAAAGGAGCTTCATTGATTGTGAGTGGAAGGAAGCCTCCATGGTAAGATCTTGGGCTATATAAACCAAGTAAATGACCATTGCTCTGAAGATCCAGAATTTGTCTGGTCACACAAGCTGCACAGTTGAACTACACACCAGCCAGCCAAAGTACTTCCTTGTAGTACCATAAGTACATAAGATTATCATGTTATTATAATCTCTAAAATGATCTTAACCTCAGCTTCTTCCTATCTTTTACTATATTTAAAGCTGCATACAACCTTCCGTATTTACACACTCTACTTGCCAGCCAAGCATATTAAAAAAAAAAAATTGATGTATCCCTTTTTGGGAAAGGCTTGCTGCCTCTCTCACAGATGAATGCATTTGTATAGAGAGGGAGATGACAGGATGTGAGGGGAATCCACAACACCTGGTTCTAAGCCTTCCTTTCCCACTGTGCATTTGTCTGCCTGGAGCAGGATCAATGTTACTGTATATTTACACAACAGTGCATCAAGGACCTTGGAAAAGCTGTGTTTTGGATGATTAAACAACTGCAAAGTGAAATTCTCTTAGAAATATTTTTCATTGAGTTGGGATTAAAACAGTCATAGAAACAGAAATTGTTCAGGCCAAATAATTTCAAAGTTTTTTATATTAAGACAGCATGAAATGCACAATAATAACTTCATTATTCCCTCCCTCTAGTGTGTATACCTGACAGTAATATCCAAAATCAGGATACTACTATCTTAGAACAGATGATAGTAGATATCTTAAATTTATATGTTCCAAAGAGTAAAAATTCAGTAGGTATTGCCTATAAAATCACTTTGTACTCCAACTGGGAAAGCTCTGTCTGCTGTTCTTGTCAAGCCCTGTGGATCCAAAGATAGAAATAGATCCTAGAAATGGAGGGGGAAAATCTTCTGAGGTATGAATTGCTTACCTAGGTAGAAAGGATAAAAACTATTTGATGCCATGAAATGATTTGTTTGTTTATTCTCTGGATTTATTACATAAAAATTATTCTTTAGGTTCTTCGAAGAGATTGCAGGAGGAAGTGGTGGGAGCTGAGGGATAACTCTTTTATATGGAGCTGAACTAAGGTGGTTCCAGAAGATGAGGGCAGGCTGACTGATTTACTGAGCGTGCTGACGGGTGTAGAAGCAGGACTGCAGTTGAAATGCATCAGTTTAAGTGTTTTTCTCAATCAACTACGGCACAATGAGAGGTAAATTAGGGAGCTGGTGAGCTACAGAGAGAAGGAGAGATTTAGTGAGAGAGCAGGTGAAAAGAGGGCAGAGAGGGAGAGTTTAATTCCATCATGAGAATATATTTTTCTGGCATAGACTTTGTTGTTACAGAGAAAAACATCTACTCATCCAGACAGAGCAGTGCTGTGGCAGACTCTACTTGCTCCTCTGGCTAATACTGTGTATTTCTGAACAAAAATTGCTTTGATGTCAGACTTGATTGCTTTGGTGGAAGGAGCTAAAAAATACCGGCACAGAAAAACACTCTTGCATGGCTTTAAAACCAGGAAATTTTACATGGATATTACTATTACCTTTGAATCACTAAATGCCTCCTTTAGTTCTGTGGGTATTATTTCCTTCAATGGCAGATGTGTGACAATGAGTCAAATCATGCAAAGCTACTTCTAGGAATGGAAAGCTTTGGAAAGTGCTAACTGTATGCAATTATTTCTTCTCTTTAGTGTTTCTTTGCTTTCTTTTAGTTTTTTCTTCTCTGACAATATAACCTGTGGGGATTTAGGGACTCCTTACTGACCTCATTTTTGGACTCCATATCGCAATGCCAGCATTTCCACAGAGCTCTGAAATGATTTTGCACAAGGTCAAAACTAAGGCTTTTAGGTCTGTGTTTTACATTCCTTCTATAATGAAACATGCATAGATAAACTGCTATTTAGGTTCAAATGAGCTGCTGTTTAAAATATTAAACAGAGAAACTGTGGTGAAGCTTATACCACCTTGTAATTTTCATTGACATTTAACCTAAATTATAGTGACTGCTTCTTGGTCCAGGTGGATACTAAAGTGCAGCGGTTTTGTAAATATTATTATGTGAACCCTCCAGAGCTGGTTCTAATTTTTGCCTTCTTTTCAAAACACTAGCATCTTTGTTACAAAACAAAAAAAATAAAAAAAAAAACAAAAACAAAAACAAAAGAAAAAGAAATTAATTGCTATTGTTCACATAGCAATTAGTTAAGAAGGATACATGAAAGTATTCAGGTTTGAATTCCTTTTGCTATGAAATACTTCTGCAATAGTATATGATGTTGCTATTTTTAATTGACAGGTATAGTGCGCAGGATTATGCATCTCATGTATTTCTTGTAGTTTTTTGAGAAAAAAAAATTATATTTGTCTCTTTAATTTCAAATCGCCCATTTTCCCACTGACATATAAATCTTTGAGGGTATTTCAGGATTTTTTCTGTCAAAGATATCTTTCCTGTTTCTTTAGATAAATCATTATCTTCATTCTTCCTTTCATTTCATTTCTAGATTGCTCAAATCCCTGGTGTTATTGAAATGCCATAGAATGGCGCACCAACATTTCAATGAAAAACTTGGTGAGGTTGTGAAAAAACTGCCTTTGATTTTAGTGGACTTTGAACTTCTATGATAAAGATATCCAGACCCTAGCAAGACATTATTTTTTTCAGTTTGGTTGTCAAAAACACATTAAAATTCTTAATTTTTCTTTTTTACAGATTACTCCCTTGTTATGACACATTTATTTTCTTCCAAACCATTGATTTCAAAACTATCAGCAGACAACATGGCTTAACATAAGGAATTAGTATTTGATACACTATGCTCTAGAAACTTTCAGCATCCAACAATAATATTCAAACTGCACTTAAGTTATCCATGGGAAAGATGATATGCTGGACATGTAGTAAAGCTTTTACTCAGGTTCTTATGATGAAATATGTGTCTGGATTCCTATATCTAGCTCTTATGCTTGGGTTTTTTAAGCCTGTATTACCAAAGCAGCTAACTAACATGGACCAAGGATAATAATTTCTGTAAGAAGAGGGTTCTTAAATAGTTTTATAAATTTTAACTTCTTTATAAAAAACTGCTTTCAGAAATTCTAAGAAATGAAATACCATTTCTGATTACATATTCTTTTTTTTAGCCAGAAAATAGCTGAAAATATGGAGATTAAATGTTTTCACTTTCTCTCAACTTCACACGTGTTTGGAAAATTTTATTCCAATTTGTAAACATTTTTTAACCTAGTTTCATGGTTTAAGCCTAGCTGGATGCTAAGTACCATGCAGCTCGTTGCTCACTCCTCTCTTCATAGTAGGATGGTGAGAAGAAGCTGGGGAAAAAAATAAAAGGTGAATCTAATGGATTGAAATAAGAACAGTTTAGCAAACGAAATAAAATACAATAATAATGATGGTATGGTTATGATGATGATGAAAAGAGAGACAACAAAAATACAGAGGGAGGAATAAAACCCAAAGGAGACAAGAGTTATTGCACAGTGCAGTTATTCACCACCCACTGACTGATGCCCAGCCCGTCCCCCAGCAGCGATCGGTGCCTCCCGACAGACTCCTCCCAGTTGATGCACTGAGCTCTGTGTTACGGAATATTCCTCTGGACAGCTCGGGTCAGCCGGCCTGGCCCTGCTCCCTCCCAGCTTCTTGTGCCCTCCTCACTGGCAGAGCATGGGAAACTGAAAAGTCCTCACTTAGACTAAGCGATACTAAATAACAATTAAAACATAAGGGTGTTGTCAACATTATTCTAGTACTAAATCCCACATCCACAGCCCCTTACCAGACACTAGAAAGAAAATTTACTTTAACACAGACAAAACCAGAACACCTAGAAATTCCATTTTTCTGATAAGTGTTTTTCCTGAGTAGTTACAAAGTTACACTACTTATCTTTTTAATGTATTCACAAGCTCAGAAAACTTGCAGAATTTGCCATATTTATACAATTACTGGAAGTAAAGAGCCACTGAAAAATTAATAACACTGCTTGACTCAATCTGTTTAAGACTCTTTAGGAACGTATTTCAAAGGTAATGAGCGGATTTAACACCTTTTGACTTACAAAATTGACAGCAGATTGTTTGTCTTAAGAAAAGCAGATTTAGCACAGTTTTGTTTAAATCTGAGTGGAGGAGATCTATTATAGTCAGGCAGATTTGAAATAGTTTGGTCTTCATTTGTAGCAAAGCAGCAAGTACTCTTAACAGTGTAGTACATCATAACAAGTAAATTGAAGGTGAAGTAAAGTAAAGTAAAAAAAAGCTCAATCTATATTGAATGCAGGTTTCAAGTCTACCTGAAGGTCATACAGAGAGAAGATGAAAAAAGGCACAGCACAGACATATAATGCTGCCTTTACTCTTTCTGTTTCTATTCTGATAGTCTGGGGATAAAGCCGTGCAGATATGTCAGGATGAATGATTTTTGGATTTTGATTTCAAGAAAGTGTTCTTGTGGGAGTCTGCACAACAGTAAATTAATGGAAGGAGATGCTCGAAGAGGCTAAGACATTCTATGTAAGAATTTTGTAGTTACAATTTAAGGGTCAGTTATGATATCCCTCAGTCAAAACCTCAGTACATGTATCACATTGCATGCTTACATTTTAATTCTATTGGAAGAATTTGCAGATTACTGCAAAGCTCTTTATCACCTAATCAGAATTTCAGAATTTTCAAAATTAATTTAAGTGTATTTCAAATCTTGTAGTTGTGTTTTCCCAAATGAACCATTTACAGTACTATATCTTGGTGTTGAGGGTCAAAAGACATTTTATTTCAATATATATGGTTATGATATACTGACACATTATGATAATATTTCAAAGAATTTATGTACCTTCTAGAGACAGGAAAATACTTTTATATCCAAATGTTTTGCACATAGATGTAGTGTATCCTTTTAAATCACATATACTCTCTTTTAGCTTATTTGCCATAAAGATGAAAACAATCTTTTCTTTTTTTTCCCCTTAGGAAATATTAGTCTACTATTCTCATACCTGCTTGTAAATCTGGTAGTGAAAATATTGTTTCCTGAGATGTCCTGGGTTGTTTCCCTCTCACCCGAGTTCATGTGTTCTGCAGTTTGTATGTGTACACACTAGCTAGTAACCGAATGCTCTCTTCAAGGTCAATAGAGAGCAACACATAGTGATTCATCTGACCTATTTTAATCATCTATTTTAGGATGAGATGACTCATGCTTTCAAAGTGCCAATTTTACTCCACTCACTGTGAAAAAGTCTTGACAGCTAGCTAACATGAAAATATCTGTACTGCTGTCTATATTTGTGATTTCACAAATGCCATTCTATGTGCTATCTTCAGAACTCTCTGATTTCCCCATTCTTTATTTATAAAAATTCTAGTCATCCAACCAGTGAGCCAAAATAGAATTGTATAGCACTGCTGAATATGCATGTACCATAAGTATCAACTAGTTAGTAGCATATTTTAAACAATCTTCATGAAAGAAACTCACTTCGTTCACTGAATTCTGAAAGTACTTTTTTCAGAGTGAAAGAACTTCAGAAACAATTATTCTATTGCTGGGCTAACAGAAATTTAACTCAGGAGAAAATATTTTGGTAAATATAATTGGTGCTAATACAACTAAAAAGGTACACCCCACTCTTTCATCTGATTGCATGCAGTCATTATTGTAAAAGTATTGGAAAAGCAAATGCACACAAGTTTGACTGTTTTGATAAGGCTGAGAGGTTTTGTACCTTCTTAATCACATCTTAACAGTAAAAACAGTGTTTTGTGTGCAGCCTATCCTGAACATAGTTCATGTTTAGTGTGTGATGGGAGCAAAAGTTGTTTGACAATTTGTAAAAAATGCAGTCATTATACATTATGACAGTTGGGTATATACAGTAAAAGTGGAACCCTGCAGACGAATTGACCTTTTTCAGTACCCTCCTTCCTGCATGTAATGAATGTGACATTTAGTATAATGATATCACTTATCTTTTTGGACATTACTAGAGAGATGAATTTTCATCATGAATGTGGGAAACTAGTGAAAAGATTTCTAAAGCTAACCTCTTACTCCATGCATTAAAATCATATGTCAATGCCTCAGACATTGTATAAACAAACCTACCTAGGCTTGCTATATTTTGGCAATTTATCCTTATTTTCTAAAAAACCTCTTCATTTTGATGAGTAAATTTGCTAATCCCTAAACATTAAAAGTCAGTAAGAGCTGAAGCTAATTTTTGTATTTTTTGAAGCATAGTGCCAACATTTAGGAGTGTTAAATGCTACTAAAACACGTGTAAGCATATGAATTTAGAGTTTATGAAAGCAATCATTATTTCAGGCTTCACTGTAAGTGTAACCAACCAACTAACTGTAAATTAATGACAACTGCCAATTTTGCAGAAGAAGAATTCTGCATTTTTAGAAATGTAATATAACATAACATATAGCAACTAATTTTAGAAACAAGCACATTTCCTCATGTGCTGGCTTTATTGGTCATTTTACAGGACTAATAGGTTAATTACATGGCTTGTTAAGGAAAGGCAAAATTATTAATATCTCAGCATAAATGAAATGTGTTTTTACAGAAGGTATCAACATCAAAAGCCAAGCCAAGTAGTGATAGGATATGGATGAAAGTAATCTGATCCTTTACCTTGTGTCTTGATCAGCATAGATACTGCCAAGTTTTCTGTCTTAAAAATTGTAGCTTTTGACACTGTTCCACTGAAATCACTGAGCTTCCTTGCAATTTCAGCCTTTGATTGTCTTAATTTGAGGTGTTAAATGCTTTACTAAATTTCCTGTCATTTTGGCAAAAGCTGAAGAAAATGTTATCAAGTGTATCTTCGGCTTGCTGAAGGATGGAGTTGGGTCATGTGTTGGTCTGCTGTTGGATTTGTAATCAAATTCTTTGCTGTCATGGTATGCAAAGGGATTTTCAGCACCCTAGAGGCACGATCACCTCCTTGAATTGTTTTCAGAAACTGGGTCTGTGACAATTATTTACTTCTCTTTTATGAGCTTTTACTCCTGGCTCCATCTTGCAAAGAGTTGGGAAACCCAGGAAATGCTGAACATGTCCGAGGTCTATAAAAAACCGCGGTGCTGGAGGTCACTCATTGGGTTATGGTATCATATAAAATGAGATATTCAGTGAGCCATGGTCCTTTAATTTAAATCAAATACACTTGTGAAACTTAATAACCTCTGCCCTATTTGAATTGCTTTGCATATATACAGATAGAGCACAACATAATCATATATAAAATACATATGATGCATTATTTATCTTGATTTACAGCATGTAAATATTAAATCCCATGTTCTGTTATTCTTCTTGGTATTGAGTAGCAGCTTAATTGAATTCAGTAGGCGAAAGATACCAGAAATTTAAGGATGGCCAAGAAACACCATTAAGTGCTTTGTAATGATGAATTAAAGAATTACACCTCTCAAAAGCACTGTTACTTAAGAAGAAATGGAAATGTGTCTAAGAAGTTATTTAATATCTAATTTATGATGTTTTTCTCAGCTTAAATTGCATTCTAATTTTCTAATTAATTTTAGAAGGAATACTCAGGGGCATACCTATTTATCTGCCAATTTTAAGATGTATAACTTGTCCTTGAGTAACCAGCATAGAATCTTTAAAAAACCCCTGAGCACAGTTATAAATAATATGTTTGAACAAAAACAAAAAATTGCTTTTTATTCACATAAAGATGTGCTTTACTTTTTTTTTTTTTTTGAGATTTTGTTCCCTGCAGTATTAACAATAGTAAGCATCTTTAAAACAGCTCACTGACATTGAATCTGTCAAAATAAACGTGCTCAAGCTGAAGAATGTGTTTCATTTCCAGAAATGTGTTAAAATGAATTTGGAATGAAAAACATGTGATATGAAAATAATTTTACTATAACAGAAGTGCTAAATTTGAAAGTTGCTAAAAGTTAGAGGCAGTAGAGTATAGTCATTCCCATTTGAGAAGAAAAGGGTTGAAGAATGAGAGTTCATTCAAGCAGTGCACACTGAAAAATATATGGACATGTAAATAAACAGAAATACACATAAATGCATTATTCTGTTTATTTCAGATGCAGTTAACTTTATTAATGATCATGTGGTTATTGAGTGACAGAGAATTTCAGTCCTATCTGCAAGAGGAAACATGAATTAGAAAATTTTGGTCAAAAAATATGAAGGGAACATTTATGACTGTGGATAACTTTTAAGATTGCATGTAATGTCAAATCTATCTTAACATATTTTGATCATATCAGTTTCTCTTCTGAAATTCTCAAAAAAAAAATTGTAAAGGTATAAATTCTTAAAATAATTTAATTTTTTCTTGTACTAATTTATCTTTTATTAAAGTCCAAAATTCATCTGGTCATCTTTATTGGAAAAGAAATAAATTACCCTATGTCATCTCTTAACATTTACCACTAAAAAACTGATATCCCTTTATGATCAGAAATGTATCTTTGCATTTACATTTTTGTGACAGAAACTTCACATTTCCTCAATAACTTTACCCATGTATAGATTTAATCATTGCATGCTTATGAACACTTACACTATGGATCCCATGCATTTGTTTAAATATTCAGTTTCTTCCACTTAATTTTCTTGAAATAATTTTTCATTGCAAAAACAAGAAGATATTTTAATATTTTTCAGAGCTATGTTTAAGAAGAATTGTAACTCTCCTGGAAATCAAATACAGATTTTCCCTAGAAATAATAATCCCTGAAAAGCATCACAAAAAATCCTAGTCAAATGGCATTTTAAGAAAACTTATATGCAGCTCATAGTCTCAAACTGAAGCTTCAGGACTGAGAGCCCAAAACTGTACAAAAATTATGATAATTTTGGTTTAATAACACTATTTCAAACTCTTGCCTAAACAAAAGAGATTAATAATACCTCAAATGACTTTTATCTAATTATATCTTTGATTTTTTGAGCACTCATATTTAAATAAATTAGTTAAGAAACCTCAAAGTTTTCTAAAAATCTTCAGTATTTTAGAGAAACAGACTGTACTTAAATGTTTTTCTGTTTTTTTTTTCCTTTTGGCTATTTAAAAATGCATGGAAATTTTTATTATCTAACATCATCTACCACTATTATGGTACTAAACAGATACTGTGCAGATGACATTCAGTTTTTTCATAAAAGTTTTGCCATGTGGTACATCAGTCAGGAATGCAACATTTGTTCTAGATGCCAGCAGTACCCATTAGTCTCCTCTAGGAAAACTCCACTTGGCTGACAAAATCTCTTTATCCAGTTTAATTAAAGGTTTACTCTGGCAATTAGGTAGTTAAAATGCTTTGCTAATTACTACTTGAACAAAATGAACTATTTAAAAATTATCATTCTTGAAGGAAGAAAGGAAATGGTAACTCTCTGCTCAAATTTTCTTGTGGGTAAATGCTTAGTTGAGACCTTGAAAATCATTGAAGTGAGTATTTATAATATAATAGTGGTTAGAGACTTCAAAGAGTTAATCTCAAGAAGATTTAATGTGAGAAAATATTATTAAAGTAAAATTAGTATCAACTAACTTCAGTCATGTCAATGTTCTGTATCTGGTAAGATAATCTGTTTTTTAGTGTAATCAATGCCAATGGACAGACAAGTCTTAGGGCTATTAGTCTTGACTGCATTAGACACTTTACATTGGAAAATGCTTCTCTGACAACTGACTCCAAAGGGAATCCAGAAAATGAACTTAGACTTGATGCCCAACTCTTATAAAGCTAAATGAAATGAATCTCATTCTTCATTTCCAGATAATAATAGATGCAATCATTACAGTAGCTCCATTTCCACAAAAACCCACAGTTCGTTACAAGACTAACACATAAACATGATATTATTAACATAATTATTCTGGATAAAACACAACTATGCACTTCAAAAAAAAAAAAAAGTGGGAGCAGATTGTTTTATCATCCTTTTTTTTCTTTTTTAATTGCAGTCCTTGATGTACTATTCTTCATTCTAACATGAGAATATTATGTGTTAGGTCCTCTCTGCTTGAAATACTATTTTTTTCCAGCTTTTTGTTATGCCCTTCACCTC